AAAAAAAAATTAAAAAATTTAGGCTCTCTGGCTAGACTTATAATACACTCCTTTTATCTCAATAACCCCTTTAAGTACATTCATCCAGCCAGTGAAAAGCTATGTTAGCCTTGATAATCAAATATTTACAATAGAATATCATAAAACAAGGTATTCTTCTGTTTGATCTTATATGAACTGTAGTAACCAGCTTGTGCACTACAAGTGGGTGGTGCTGTGGATCGTGACTGTTTTCTACAATAATTTTGAACTCCCATAGCCACTGTACACCCTCTGACGTCATCACGCAAAGAGGCAATAATGACGTCATGACGTTCCGCTTAGATGAATGGAGGGAATGGCGGTCGATATAACAGACCAATTTTACTTCCTACACCAGGGCCATTTGACGGGATACAATGTCCCGAGCGTGCAGCCCCAGATCTGCCTACTTCCATCCTGCTACTACATAAGTAGTAGCAGGATGGAAGTAGGCAGAACTCTCACAGATACAGTGAAGGAGAGCTACAGTGAATGAACCTATCCTTTTCCTACTTTCTGGAGAATCTGTACATAATGATTATACACCAGGAGGCCTCCTTGTATACCTTTGGGTGAGATCTAACCTAGACTTGACTACAGAATTTTTAATTTTTTGTCATTATATATATATATTTTATTTATTTTTTTTCATAATTTTTTTATATTTTGCTTTTTTTTTTTTTATTCTCTTCTGTATTGGATCTACTACCATACACTCAGTATTAGGACAGATCATTGACTCTTTGTGTATACTTCAGTTACTCTGTTGCACAGATTACTGACATCTGTGTGCCCTCTATTTATCTTAGTTATTTGCTTTCTGCACATGAACTGTTGGCAGGCATTATTGTATATGTATATTTATTTGCACTTTAGTGTATAGAGTTATAATATTTATTGTGATTTGGCACTAAGCACTTTTAGTTATGTTCTGCACTTTAAATATGGTGGACTAGCTATTTAAACCTGGAAATATATTTATCTTTTCATAGGCTAGATTAGCACTCTTTCCTATACTACTATGTTGTAGACATGTGCAATTCGTTTCGGTCTGAATAAAAATTCGGCCGAATTTCGAGTAATTCGGACATTCGGGTGCTTCCGAATGTCAGAATAGCCGAAGTCCCGAAGTTCCGAGGTGCCAAAGCGCCGAAGTTCCGAGGTGCCAAAGTGCCGAAGTTCCGAGGTTCCAAAGCGCCGAAGTTCCGAGGTTCCAAAGCGCCGAAGTTCCGAGGT